ACGCCCCTCCCCCCTCCCCTCCTCGAAAAACTTACCCCTTTTCTCGTTCTTTGCGTCCAGCACAAAAACTTAAAAAGGTGCAAATGAAAAAAAAAACGTTTTAAAATGTAAGCGTTTTACGCCCCCTTCGACATGATTAAGATTGTTTAGAAGAGGTGTTTCGACCCTGCCTGTCAAGGCCAACCCGGGTTGAGAAGAATACAAGGTCCAGCAGAAAGACCAAGATACTTCATAAAAAAATCTTCCCACACTCAAATCGAACTCTAGTCTTCTGTGTGCGACGGTGAAGCATCTAACTACATGTATTACACAACAGACGCCAGTTTAGCTCCTCTCTACGGGGAGCATTTGATTATTACGTTGTTACTTTCAGTACACCTATGTTCTCCATTTGCTCGTTCAGGGGTGCTGAGAGATACTAAGCCTCTTTAAAACCTAGAGACAACATAAAGAATGAAGATGCATAAACTACGTTGAGATTGACTTCGAGGACTTCTTCAAGCCTACGTTGAAAAAAAAAACTTTGGGTAAATCAAACCTCCCTCACGCATAAACACACTCCATATTTTCAAACTGTTTACATCTATCCCCACCAATGACCTGAACGGTTAACCTAAATAAGAAGACCTTGACACACCACCCCCTACTTCACTCACACATACACTCCACCCCCCCCCCCCCCCCCCAGAAAGTCAAGATGGACGAAAACATAAAACCCGCAATCAAATCGTCAGTCAGTTCGTTGTACGAGCAGTAGCCTACTCAACAGAGATATTCTTGCCTTGTGAACTGGACGTGATTGGAGCGCCCGTCCTCATTTGACGCACGCTTCGTGGGACAATCAGAGAACCCCAAAGGCTTCCCCAACTTCTTGTTAACGGGTGGCTCCGAAATTGCAAGGTACTTGTTTTCACACACGGCCGACCCACTGACTCAGTATGGACGAATCATAGATCCAATCCTTAAAAAGAGGTGCTGCGGGCCTAGAGAAGGTTACAGCTATGAGCAGGGTGCGTTCAAGTCAGCGTCTCAATCTTTAATGAAATTTTCGATTAGTTTTGCAATCAGGCAGGACCCCAAACAGCTCTCTGCGACTCCGAGAGATTCTTTGCATTGACTAGCGTGAGGTGGACACTGCCTTTCTCCTGCTGTGAGTGATGACTGGAAGTGAGAGACACTATAAATCCTTTATGTCAATCCGGGAGATTTCTATTTTCTTCGCGCCTACCTTTTTGTACTCGTGCACGCAGGTATTGTATGTTTCATTACTCATCTATAAATCAAAGGCTTCCGAGGAGATACCCTCTTTACCTCATGTTTAACCCTTTCACTGCGGTCTCACTGCTGTCAAAGATAGATAGATAGATAGATAGATAGATAGATAGATAGATAGATAGATAGATAGATAAGTAACACATAATATTATGCTGTGTGGCGTCGGAAGCCTAGTGGTCAGGCAACCGGATTTGAAATCGTGAAATTACGGGTTCGGGGGTTCAAGCCTCAGCTCGGTCAGATGGTGTGTCCTTGGGAAAGACACTTCACAGAATTTTTTCAGAAAACAGCGATTTCCTTTCAGAGATGGAGGTTAAACTCGGGGGTTTCTGCCTCTTAAATAGCCTAAAAGCGTTGATAGGGGCTTTAGGCCTATATCATTATTTTCCTGATATCGTACACGTAAATACGAAAGTGTAGTTCACCTGCTGGTGACAAGGTAGGACCCCAAACAGCTCTCTGCGACTCCGAGAGATCGAGGCTAACTATTCAAGACTGTGAAAAAAATACTATTTACCATCTGATTCATCTCTGAAATATCAAAGAAACCAACACTAACTGCACTAGGTTTGCAGGTGCTCTTGTGTGGTTTGCTCCTTCTTTCCTATTAAACATCTATCGTCCTGACTTCTCCCCTTTTTGTATTTGTTAGTCTCTTTTAACATCGTTAATCTTCTGAACTTCTTTATTATAACCTTATTGTTCTGCAAATGTGCAAAACTCTTCCTTAAGCTAAAACAACACAAAGTAATCTAACAGACAGGTTAGCTTACTGTCACTTTTAATTCCTCACCAGCTCGTGCCTCGACATTCTGTGCCGTATTTAACAAATCGGTCATTCAAGTACACTCTGTAAAAGACCTCTCCTCCGTCAGGCACTTAAAGATGTTGAGCACTTCATCGACCGAAATGGACAAAGATTGCGTGAACCATTTTAAACCAATTGTTCGTCTGGTCGAAGTGAGCCAGTCTTTGTTCTCAAGATCTCAATTGACGTAATTGCCCGAGTTTACTCCGAAATTGACCACTTCCGTTTTAGAGTGGACAGTATTCCCCCTGGTATGGGAAACAATCAACTCAAGAATTCAACTGTTTTCTTTTTTCAGCGGAAACGCCCAGAAACGAGAAAACTAAAGTATGGTGAAAAAGTAAAAGTTACTCATCGGTCTCATTCCAAAGTCCCTTCCCTGCCTTTCATTGTCGTTCCTTCGATCCCTACCCTTCAGCTCTCTCTCTCTCTCT